CTGTTGGAGCCTAATAGTGTTTGAGTTAAATTGAACTCCTTCTTTAATACAGTAAGAACGAGGTCTGTCTTTTTTTTTTTAAACTAATTAATTTATTTATTTTTATAAATTTATTTGTTTAGTTTTTGGCTGCGTTGGGTCTTCGTTGCTGCACGCGGGCTTTCGGTAGTTGTGGTGAGCAGGGGCTACTCTTTGTTGCGGTGCACTGGCTTCTCATTGCGGTGGCTTCTCTTGTTGCGGAGCACGGGCTGTAGGCGAGCAGGCTTCAGTAGTTGTCGCATACGGGCTCAGTCGTTGTGGCTCGCAGGCTCTAGAGCGCAGGCTCAGTAGTTGTGACGCACGGGCTTAGTTGCTCCGCGGCACGTGGGATTTTCCCGGATCAGGGCTTGAACCCGTGTCCCCTGCATTGGCAGGCGGATTCTTAACCACTGCGCCACCAGGGAAGCCCCCGAGGTCTGTCTTTCTATCTTTAATAACAACGGTGACAATAATTAAACTCAGCATAATCTTTACTAAGGTCTCACTCTGCATAGTTCTGATATGCACAAATTTCAGTTACTGCAATTTAAATAACACCAGTCTGCCAACAACACAGTTCAAATTTTAGCTACCAATGTATTCACTGAGAAGTTGCATAAAGTACAAACTTTGCTGCTAGCTCTTTAGTCCACAGGTCACTACATAAGTGACAGATGCACATCATGATCAGTGACCAATCTTGTCACTTCTTTCAGTGATTGGTACTATGCATCTGTTACTGAGTTCACAAACAGACAGCAAAGCGTATGCTTGTGTTGCTTCCTGGTTTCCCAGTGATAAACTCATGTGACATTTTATAAATATGGAAAATTAAAAGAGAATTATCCAACAAAAATGAAAGTGCAACAAAGAAACAAAAGTAATGATGCTGAAAGTGAAGTTAGAATCAAACATAAATGGAGAGTAGAAGAAATAGCGGATTGTGGGAATGTTGATACTGCTGCCTTTTGAAAGACATGCATCCGAAGGAACTTAGTGAAGGCAAATTTATTGACATAAATGAGGAAGGTGGTTGTATGAAAGGATAAAAATGTCCTAGAGGAAGTGACACCAGCAAAAAATCCACATAAAAGGAACTCTTGGAGATATTTCATGCCATTAAAAATACAAGGGATAAAATGTTAGCAGCAGATGCTTCCAAAGCTGAAATAGAGACACAGATATAGAGAACGAATATATGGACACCAAGAGGGGAAAGCTGGGGGCGGGGGGGGGGGGGATGAATAGGGAGATTGGGATTGACATATATACACTAATATGTATAAAACAGATAACTAATAAGAACCTGCTGTATAAAAAATAAATAAATAAAATTTAAAAAAAAAGAAGCAGATGCTTCCAACGTAAAAAGCAGTGTGATGATTTGCCAAGGCATAGAAAAGGTGCTCGCTTGTCAGTTATATGATGACAAGATGGCAAGCACCACCCAAGCTAATCTTGATAATTTTTGTACAAATAAATAAGACACTTTATTTTTAGTGTTTTTAGTATAATACTTTAATAGTATACTAAGCAAACATCAGTTTTATTCTTTTTCTCATATCCTTATACATTTATAACCAATAGTGAGAGAGTTTTTAATGTTTTGACAAAAATTTTTAAAGGTCAGGAAACAATTGTAATGTTTCCCAGTAAGACAGTTTTGCACAGTCTCAACTTGAACGATCGTTTTATGGTCCTGAACTACAGTGCAAAGTGAGGATTGCCTGTGGTTCACAGAGTTACACTGTTTCATATCCCCAACAATATTTGCAACTCAGGCAAATCTTATCACCCCCATTTCATTCATTTATTCATTCATATATGTCAATGAAGTCACAGAGATTATGTAGGTTCAAAGTTACCCAGCTAAATAACTGGCAGGACTTGAACCATGATAATTTCACTTTCAATTCATTCTTCTTATAGCCCCACTACCATGACACCACATTCTTTCCAAATAATCTCATTAATATGTGATGTAGAATCAGAGAAAATGTCCTAAAGGTTGAAGCCCCCAAATCTAATGTGTTCCATGTCACATTCCACTGATTGGTGGATTAGTTATCATTCTTAGGTTGCAAGCCACAGAAACTATCTCTAACATGGTAGATTCATACAGTAATGGTTCCCCGTGGATCATGTCTCCCTGTAGCCCCTTTACTTGGGAAGGTTTCTTTGTCACTCCTCCCATGAACAGATGAAGTCTCTTCTCCCACCCCTTAAATCTGGGTTTTAAACTATCTGATGGGGGAGCGTGGATGGCATGAATTGGGAGGTTGGGATTGACATATATACACTATCGATACTATGTATAAAATAGGTAACTAATGAGAACCTACTGCATAGCTCAGGGAACTCAGTGCTCTGTGGTGACCTAAATGGGAAGGAAATCCAAAAAAGAGGGGCTATATGTATATGTATAGCTGATTCACTTTGCTGTACAGTAGAAACTAACACAACATTGCAAAGCAACTATTCTCTAATAAAAACTAAGGAAAAGAAAGTATCTGACCAATAGAATGTGATGTAAGGGAAGTTGCAGCTTCTGCTTTTGTTCTCTCTGAACATTTCTCCAGTTTAGCCTACTGGAAGGTGAGATGCCACGTGGAGAACTGAGGTGTTCTAATTGATAACTCCAGCCAGTTTCCGAATAGGTGAGTGATTGAGGCAATCCAGGGTCAGTCAGCCCCCAGCAGATCTACCCACTGACTGCAGATGTTTAAATGAATCCAGCTGGTACCCCATGGAGCACAGATACGCCATCCCAGCTGAGCCCTACCCAAATTGCCAATCTGTAGAATTGTGAGTAAATCAATTGTTAATATTTTAAGCCATTAAGTTTTGGAGTGGATTGTTATGCAGCAAAGCACTAACTTAAATAGAAAAAAGAATTTATCGGGAGGATACAGGGTCGTTTGTAGAATTGAAGGGAAAACTTCAGAATGAAACAATAGAAAGCCTTGTAGCAGGAATTACTCAACAGTCTTGCCTGGGTATCAGTTCTGGAGTGAATGAACTCCAGCTGTTTCTCTTGTTCTTGCGTTGTTCTACAGATTCAGAGTCCTGAGGGAGAAAATTTGATGGGTCACATGTCCATCCTATGGATGTATTGATTTATGAGAGGAGAATCTGGCAGAAGGAACTTCCAGTTTCCTCTTAAGCTTTTGTACTGGGGGAGGCGATAGACACTTGGACTTATCTCCCCCCAGTTGTACACAAATACTTCCCCCTAAAGAAACCTAGGTGCTGCCAAGGAGGGGGAATGAATAATGGACATCTTCAAAGTGACAGCTCTCCACTACTGTCACTTCTTTTCCCTGATGAGGATTTTAAAATATTTACACAAAATTTGTTGTTTCATGGCAAATAAATTTGTGGGAAATAAAAAGAAAATTATGCCCATATAACAGGCATATAAGTCAATATATGGAGAGAAATTGCATCTTGGATTGAGAAGGTTAAAGGTGAAAAGGGCTTTCGAGCTCATCACGGCCAAGGTCCTCATTTTATAAGTGGGGAGAGTGAATTGAAGGTGATTAGGCCAAGGGTACATTGAATTCATGACAAAACCAGAACTAGAACCTAGGTCTTTTTTTTTTTTTTTTTTCCTCTCTAACTATCCGTAGCCTCAGTTGGATTTGGGAAGGAAAAAAAATTGACCTAGAGTGTTTGAAATGTGCATGTTACCTTCCTTTTGGGTATTCTCATAGCAAGGACTCTTTGGAAGGCCTCTCCGACTGTGGGTGGCACCCTGCTTAGCTTCCCTCCCAGCATCCATCATCTCTTTCCCACTTCTAAACACTCAGGCCAATACAGGTTTCCCCCGCTATCAGAAAGTAGAGCGTTCCTATGAAACCCTTCCTGAGCTGAAATGGCTGAACGTGAAGGAGTAATTAACTTAGGATACATGTTGCTAATGGATGCACAAAGTAAACTGAGATAAAGCACAGGCACAGTTCAAAGCTGTGGCAGCTTGATGCTGAGATGCCCAGTGTATTTCCTGGGGAAGGAGCTTGGAGGTGCCGCTCTCCCTGCTTAGGGTTCGAGCTGCCTCTGTAACAGCTGCCTGCAGAACAAATGCTGAACGCTGTTTTCTCTTTTTCATAAAAACGAAAATCCTTTTCAGATTTCTTTTGATTAGTGCAAACATGTACGAATGTAGGTCTTTTGTAAAAGCAAAGCGGTATAAAGCAAACTTTTGAAAAGCAGAACTGTATCGCTCTGGACCAGTCTAAACCTGAAAAATCAGAAGCAGTTGATGTTTCAACATCCAAGCCAGCTGGCGCTTGAATCAGGATAACACTGTCCTGTCAAAACTTAAACCCGCTTAGAACTTTGGTTTGGTGGCTGTTCCACATTGTATTTTCTTCTTGTTTTAAATCTCTTGGTTTTTTGAAGGATATTTGCAGAAAAATAGCATCTTTGCATTCTTGTCAGATCCTGATGCATACTGTTTTTCTAAAGTCCTAATCCTGTTAGTGAGACATGTTGATTAAACTGTATCATGGGGGATTATCGCATCTGAGAAGAAACCGCCAATTGGAGAATCTCAAACTATATAAACATAGACCTATCAAGGAGAAAAGACCCTGATTATTACTAATGAAAAACTGTTGCAAGAGATAAAAACAAGGTAGTAAATAGGCAAGAACGTATTGAAGGAAAATTTTTATAAAATAGAGTATAAAAAATATTTAGATCTCTGGTCTGGAAGGAAACAAGAAACAGTGGTTGCCTCTGGGAAGAGGGGTGGATGGCTGGAGATCAGGGTCTCCAGTGGATCTCCAAAATTGAGATCAGACTTCTCAATGTTGAACCATGTCTTTGAAGCCTTTACCTCATCACATTTCTTGTATCCTCTTTCAAATGTGGTCATTATATTTAATGGACCAATTCTGCTCACCCTAAAGGTAGATGAATGTTGCCATTTGTTGGCTGTTTCAGTGTGTAATGCACTAAATCAGGGTTTGTGACTAAAGGTTTCACATTGGCATATACGGAGATAGCAGTTCTCAGCAGCAGCTTAATGGAAATCTTTCCATTTTGAAAGACATGATTTTTGATGTTCCTGCCATGGTTTTGCCTTCTCTGGAAATAATACCAGGATTGCCATTATTTGTGATAGGAGAGAGCCTGGAGAAAGAAAGGATGTTGGCTTCAAGGTAAAGGTTTTGGCAGATCCAGTGCCATCTCACTGGTTACAAAGCCTTTCTGGAAAGCGTGCAAGTATTCAGCTTGCACAGCACAATTAAGTAAACTATTCATTTAGTCTCTCTATTGATACTCCATCGCAGAGGGACTCGGGTGGCTCGGGAGATTGGAAATGGGAGCTGTAGCCTTTTCCCTAGACGTTGGTGCTTTGGATCTTTTTGTTAGCGTAGTGACTACATAGTGTCTCGCATTTGATGGCTGTGCAGCGACCCAGGTGAAACAGATTGGTGGTTTCAGGCCCATGGAGAGGCAGTCACATCTCAACATCCAGGATCCCAGCTGGCAGAAATATGTGAGGATTATACCAACACGATTCTATTCCGTTTGTGCTTTAGTGAACTTCATATCTTGAAAATCCTACGTGCGATAAAGTGAACTTGAGAATATCTTCATAAAGCTCTGAGTGGAGATCTCAGCCTTCTACAATTTGTCTGATGATTAGCACATTTGGCCTGTTTACTTTGGCTTAGACTCTTTAGGGTCATAAGATTTCTCCCAGCTCTCTCCCACATTTGTGAATGTCGGGGGATAAAGATCTACTCACAGTACAAACTGCCTGAAGAAACATGGTACTTGGGTATAGGATTCTGTTTACAACTTGTACTAAACCATGGCACATCTTGGTAGTTTTAGGCAAAATGAGGCTTCTTGTGAAGAAACAGATATGCTTATAAACTATAAAGATGTGCTTATAAAGCACCATTCAGACCTAAGATATTTCTTAACCTAGGCCTGGGGGGCTATGTTGATTGAACACTAGTCTTTCCCAGAATTTTCATTTTCCATTCCTAACATTTAACAATCTTCTCCTACACATATACACACACATGCGTGCACACACACACAAATTTACTAGTTCTATTACTTTTTCTATTTGGAGGGAGGAATCCAGATCTGGACCTCAGATAGGTAAGCTTTTCAAAATTGAATGTAATACTTATAAAAGGAATATATATGTGCAAAATCCTAGGGTGCCACAGTTACCAGTGACATCTGCATAACCTTGTGATATTATGGAAAATTAACATTTGCCTAAGGATTTTCTTGAAGACAACATGTGTTGCAGTGTTGGGAGTGTAAATAAATATTAATACAAAATGGATAATAAAATCCTCTTTAGAGCTTTGAAGGATGGAGTGGGCCCAAGCAGGGGAAAGTCTAGGCCCTTCTTTTCCACCAACTCATTCACCCCTAATATTTTGCTGTGATCTGAGGATGTTCCTAAAAAAGTGGGTGCTTCTTGGTGTGGACACCAACGGGGCCTGAGATTCCTGGAATTTGATTTGTCGGTGTCAGGCACCGTCTTTCAGGTGAAACATGCGCCACCCCCCCATCCACGTGTGTGACAGGTGGAACTGATGGCAGAGCCCACAGGTGAATTTAGCGTGGTGTCAGTTGGCACATGCCTGAGCCACGTGCCTCTACCACTTACCCCAAGTTGTGGTCTTCAGAGGAACTGTCCAGGCACCGCTAGAGGGCGGCCCGTGATTGGTCACCTGACGCACTACTTTGCTGGAGCCACGTTACAAGTCAGATCAGTGCGTGCTGCCTTCTGTCCTGGCAGTGGACTGGGTGATGCAGATGGGGGTTGGGATGGAGGCTGGGATGGAGGTAGGAGTGGGGGTGGGGATAGCCCTTGAGTGGAAAGCTAGGTAAATAATAAATGCTGGGCCTCCCTGGTGGCGCCGTGGTTAAGAATCCGCCTGCCAATGCAGGGGACACGGGTTCGAGCCCTGGTCCGGGAAGATCCCACGTGCCATGGAGCAACTAAGCCCGTGCACCACAACTACTGAGCTTGCGCTCTAGAGCCCGCAAGCCACAACTGCTGAGCCCATGTGCCACAACTACTGAAGCCCATGTGCCTAGAGCCCCTGCTCCACAAGAAAAGCCACCACAATGAGAGGTAGCCCCCGCTCGCCGCAACTAGAGGAAGCCCGTGTGCAGCAACGAAGACCCAATGCAGCCAAAAATAAATAAATAAATAAATTTATATTAAAAAAATGAACAACTTAGCAAAAACAAACAAACAAACAAACAAATAAATGCTTACGTCTGTGGAAGAGGCACTCACCTAGTAGTAGCTAGTGGTAGTATTTATTTCTCTATATTAAGAAGAATCATGGACTCTTACTTTCTTTTGGGTCCCTGTGAATAGATTACTATCATGAAAATGTTTTAAAAACTCCTTTGCTTTCTTGGCAGAAAACACTGGAGAAAGGCACGGGGGAAAGAG